ACACGGCGGCCATGTTGGAGGATATAACAAAAGAATTCATTGACAATTCTTTTGTTACGTTCCTCCAGCATGGCCGCCGTGAAAACCATCAATAGTTTGAAGTTCCTAAATGAGACGGAACCGCCATTTTACATTTGGCTCGAGCCAAGGCGAAGGTCCGTCAAACCATTTGCAGATATTTTTAGAACAAAGGCATTGTCTTCTACTCAGATAACGCAAACCTTTGAACCCACGACCTCCCCCACAACAGGCCGGTGCCCAACCTACTGGGCTAACTGGGTGGCGCTTGACATTWAAAAAAAATGGGGAATGTGGCAGTGAAATTCATAATTCAGTTATTCAGAGTATAGTATATATGATGGATGGGTGCTAAAATGCAAGAAAGGTGCCGCGGCTAGACTTGTTTGCTTCGTGGAAACACGTTTTACTACTGCTGCGGGAACGGCTATGAAGTCTCGTGCATAGTACACTTTCAAATTATCTAGCATTGCACCTCTCCTATAAATGGATTATTTATTAACAATTTTTTTCAACACATTTTAAATAGAAAGTGGACAAAGACTCTCGGTTGACTGTGGCCATAATTGCAATTTTATGGATCTCAGCGCTCGCCTCATCGTTCGTCGACAATATTCCCTTTACGACTGCAATGGTAAGACATCAGACTAATACGCTCATTCACGACCATATAAAATCATTTAAAGTCAATGTAGTGAGACTTCAGGAACCCACCGACCCTCGATTAGTATTTAGAACAGATTGAGAGCAGACTGAGAGCACTCCGTGGTTGAACTGATTTCTGTTTATGTTACTCAAAGTGTTAATCTTAATAGACCTCTAGATTGGGCATGATATTTTCCCATTTCAGACCACGTGTCATTTCCTTGAGCAAAAGATTCTTTGTTTGAGTTGTAACCATATTCGCCGCGGGTAAACTGATTGCTAACTATGTTACTCAAAAGTGGTGCTCTTAAAGTTCTAGCGTGATATTTTCCCATTTCAGACAAGGTTTCATTCTCTTGAGCAAATTTGTCCTTGCTTGAGTTGTATTCATATTCATGTCTTCTCATACACAACCATTAAACGATGAAAGGATACTCTAGAGAATGACACGTGGTCTGAAATGGAAAAACATTACGCCCAAGATAAAGAGCTAATGGAGGGTACCAAAAATTATTCGTGTTGAATAAAACCCCATGCCAAGAACTTTTCAAATTGTTCAACTCACTAAGAAGCCATCCTGTTATTGCAAAACATGAGGGGGTGCTGTCACATCTATTGACTCCGGATATGCCATGCTAGCTTACCGCGGGTATAACAGGCCGCAGCATGTTCTAGTACCTTCCAAAATTTGAAAATTGGTTTTTGCGAGAGAGTTACAGTGAGTCAGAAATTACCTATGAAAAGTCCAATTAAGTTGTCTTTAAAAAAATGTATCTTATTTTAAAATTAACTGCTAAACAAGTTTAAAAATCATCTCAATTGCTGGGTTTCAATCAGCTGACAAAACTCTTTGAATCTCATTGTCTGCTCTAAATGGTGGTCAACAATGTACTGACCACAATGTGCTATCAACCAGGAAGATTTCAACATTTTTTTTTGCGATTTAGCTGATGAGCATTCCACACAAAACAGGAAATGACGYCTAATAAAACCCAGCAATTAACTGAGATACTACGTCGTTGTAAAACACAACATTTTTGTTTCATATTTTATAGATACCAGTTGTATTACAGCTTCACAATAAAGAGACAGTCCAACTTCCGTTACAGCCTCTAGTTTGGGCGTTGGCCATGGGTGCATGTCTAGGAGGGAACGGTACTCTTATTGGTGCCTCGGCTAATGTGGTGTGTGCTGGTTTATCCGAACAGTATGGCTACCCTATATCCTTCAACAAGTTTACAAAGTGAGACTGAATACTGTGCATTACTTTCGATACCGTCCTCGTTTGCATGATAGCGTCATTTGAATCCCACTACCAAAATGCTTCGCGAATTTTCTTTCTTATTTAAATGTGTATTCCCTCATGAGAATAGTAAAACAATTGGTGCTAATTAATTGAACAAAACAAAGTGTGCAAGGGAGTCTGGTAGTAGAGGTCAATGACGCCATCATGCAAACGTCCTATTTCTGATGCTATTTACGTAGCACTCAGTTGATGTAATAATGATAAATAACACGTAATAATATGGATAGAAAAATAATTTAATGCAACTGGTTTTATGGATTTATTACGTTAAGGAAGTGCTACGTAGATTAGAAATGATTGCAATCCCTGACTACAACGATCTGTGGCTAGATTTTGTTTTGTCTGTAGCACGATTTGATTTGTCGTGTCCTATCTCATGGCCGCCATGCATATCTTGTACCTTTGCAAGATTATCTGGCCCAACTTTAAGTGAGAGCCTCATGGGAACATCTTACCATCGACAGATACACCTATTTTGAAAGACGTCGTCGGCCGGAAATCCGAAATCTGAGACAATTCGCCAGCTCAGGTCATCACCAAAAGGTGGTGGCGTATTTAGATATTGTACAAAGTTGCAAATTACTTATTGAAAAGACAATAAAAACATCACTTTCTTTTTTTCCTTTCACAGCCCACAATTCACTTCGGTCTCAGATTTCAGGTTCCCGACAGCAAACCTGTTTTGAAATAGGTGTATACCTGATGTGTTGATATACATTTTTTCTTTTATCATTTCTAGGATAGGGTTCCCCATGATGCTCGTAACTGTTGGCACTGCCACCGCATACCTTTATATCTACCACATCGTGCTTGGTCGTGGCAATATATAACGTACCGCTTCCAATCACTGTAAAGTAAATATGCCAATCGTGTCATGTCCTGAGGACTTGTGATGAGTCACGCGATGTGATTGGTCAGCTCGTTGCGCAATGCCTTAGGACATGACGGGATTTCTAACAGTCTGAGACTTGTCCTACTCAAGTGCTGACATCAAACTTAGTAGGAAATCTACGATACTTAATCTAAGATGAAAGAAATATAATACATTTAAGTAGACTTTTTTACTAGTGACTAATTATACAACTTTGTTTCACGGGCCAAATAAAATATAATTAGAATAAAATAACAATAGGGATTAACCAGAAAAAAGGACTGCGTTTATAGGTGAAAATCTAAAAGGGGACCCCTAACTCCTAAAAAACTAATTTCTTTTTAATATCTACAGTTCTATGTTTTGTTACTACGTCGATTTAACTGTGCTTTTGGTCGAGTTCGTAATTTCCAAGCATTCCCAAGAAAGTCAAAAAAAAGACAAAACATGGCGGCCATCTTGGATGCTATAAAGAGAAATATTTTGATAAAAAATAACGCCAACATTGGCGCAATGACGCAACATGCAAATCGAATAATAGAAATGTACCACACAGACAGTCAGGTGTCAATCCCACCTCCGCTTGGTCTTGTTAGCGTATTAAAGAGGCTTTTTTTAGCGGTTAGTACTATCTCGCGTTATCATGGAAGTCTTTCCAGGGTGTACACGGGCTCGATCATCGTAGTACATACCTAACTACATTTGGGCTTCCTGTTAGTTCTTATGGATCAGATATGCTGTCACTCAATGAGAATTTGAAGAGAAAGCAACTAGACGAGTYGTACTCTAAAACTGATCTTCCGTCTAAAAAGCTATAACTGCAAGTAAGTGGATCTGTATAACATTATTTCGTCACTGAATCAGGGATGATATATTAAAATTTTCGTCAGCTTGCTTTTCACATCAAACCTTGTCGGTTAGGATATTCCATAACTACAAACATATGTCAACAGACATGTCCAGTCGAATAGATAAGGACAATGAAGGAGGTCATTTTCAGTTGTTGACAGCTAAAATGTATATAGGACAGCAAAAACGTCGGAGCTTTTATTCTTACCAGCCACTCTGCCTTTTCGGCATTTGCTTGAAAATGGCAGGTTTGTAGTTGAATGGTGTCGTCATATCACCGAGGGTTTGAAAAAAACCATTTTGATCAGTACTTGGCGTTTTCAAGAACTTTAATTGGAGATTCCCGCGATGATTTAGAGGATGAAAAACTAGAAAAATCACTAACGACATCTAGTTTTGTGCTGACTGCGCTGCCGTACTCGAGTCATTATTACTACTAGAAAACAGTAAAATTTTAGAGTAGCAATGAGTATATTAGCAAATCCTAAAAAAACCCTCTTGACCTCAGTCTGCCATCTATGGTGAAACCATCGACGTACCAAGACCGGCGCCGCGCGATAGCTACTTCTCCGAAAAAAACGTTTATTTCAAGGTAGAGTGGAAAGTTTTATGGTCTGTCGATTCAACATATTTGCCTATTAAAACTAGAACTTGCGTGTTACCCAAACATTTTTTGCGCGGCAGTACAGTAAATAGCTTCAAGGCATAATGGAACAAATTACCGGCGAATATCAGATAAGGTTTCAGGTCAACAATCGATCTGTTACGCGCTATTTTTATCTCTGTTTTTTGGTTCGGTGCTGATGAAAGAGAAAAATGATTGTTCGAGTTGACTCAATAATGATGATTTCGCAAAGCCGGAGAGGAACTAAAGGGTCCCTGCCAGCATGGAAACTCCTTCGCTCACCAACGGAGGGAACACTATCATACAGGAAAGGCTGTGCTATTAGTCCTGTGACTGTCCCGTGGGTGCACCCCTGATAGATTAGGATTATTCTAGCGCCGTGTATAAATATTGATACGCCTATTATCAGGAAACTACACAATATCCCCCAACGCCCTTGAATAATAAGACATTTATCCTTACAAGCCTAGTTGGCATTATATAATAACCCATCCTCGGGAACCCCGCCAGTGGTAAATTTCTGTCGCTCGTTTCTCTCTAGCGACAGAATTTTACCCCTGGGCTCCCGAGGATGATAATCAAGTATTATTGTACCCGAAAAGGTGGACGTTTACTGATGTTCTGCAGATTATTAGCTTTTGAAATATGTACTGGCGACTTTGAATTTCGCCACCGATTAAAAGGGTTAACATTTTGAGTGCCTAATATGATCTAGCGAAAGCTCTATCTTTATTGATAAGATTTAATCTCATTCGTAGGAGTAAGAGATAGACGGTAATTTGGCTTTACAGCTCTATCCTCTCGATCTATCTTCGATATTTTTCCCAACGGAGGTTTATTTCATTTATGCTATTTTGATAAGAAGTGATACCGTTACCTAATATCTCCCAATCACAATACACCAGTTAGATCAAGACAGACTATTAAATCACGAATAATAATATGCGCCTTTTGAGCCGCCCTCGCAAAGTAAATATATCTTTCATGATTTACCGTTCCGAGTTAAAGGAAAAAATTGGTCGAGTTAGGCTTGCAGTGCATTTTGGGGCTGTTTTAGGGGACTCGAAATAGACACCATCTTGGAAAACATGTGTCCCTTAAACAGCCCCAAAATGCACTGCAATGCCAACGCTACCCAGTTGTAGTTTTGCGGAAGCCATGTTGTGGGGTAAAATGTTAAATAAAAAAAATTTCCTTCGGGAAATGAAAAAATCTTTTTCTTTCTATATTGCACTGAGCGATCTTGCTCCATTGCGGTGGCTTTCATTTAAACCAATCTATAATTGCGCGCAGACTTTAAGCAATCACAAGACTGCCTATTCCACATTATTATTTATGGAGAACTGGTTCTCCTAAAATGATCATCAGGACTCCTCCCTCACTTTCAGAACCCAAAGTCAAGATTACATTCAAAAGCTTCCCTATGGAGGACGGCGCGTTTTCCCTCTATTGAATTAGTCCGTTATTGAATTCCGTTATTGAATTGTTGATGGACCTACGCTGTAAAAGAGGAGAATTTATAGCTTTGAAGACAAAATTTGACCCTTGGTTCCAGCTAGTTTTGCGTGTTTTCTTAGTGCCAGTAACAACGTACATGTAGCCACGGAGACTTCATAGCTGTCGTTTTTATGGAACGACGACGCCGTCTGCTTACTAGGGTAATGGGTAGCCAAAAGGCCCGGCAGACTTGGGGAGAAAACATAGTTAATATTAACTATTAACTATGGAGAAAAAGACCTTTTTATTGTCTGCCTTGGAAAAATTACCTTAACCAAAGCATCCAGCATCCGCCCTTACCGGGAAAACGACAAAGATGACTCATATACAATCTTTTGTTAAATAAAGCAAGATGGCGGCTAGGATTTTGTTGGATGATATGAGTTTTACTACTAATAGTATATAACTGCATGCAGTTGGTACTTCTACTAGTGCTACGGCATTTTCTACATTTCGTCATGGGAACAATACAAGCAGTCCTGCGGGGCAAACCATTCTGGTAACGATGGTCCCTAAAATTCTTTACTGAATCAACTTTAATCACAGCAAGTAAAAGACTGGAAACTGGACTAAAAAGAGCTTTATTCAGAAGACCATCAGTTTTGTGCATCAACAAATAGCTCCAAACCGGACCAAAGTACTTTGTACCCGGCAATGCCGCCAATACGCCACCACAGACCAAACACCATGATTTTTTTTGTATATGCTTGGCTTATCATAGTTTTGATTGACCCCGCTATCCTATGCTTGGCAGGTTATCGAGCTCAGCACGAAAAAAAAAACCACATCTGACCTTCTTCTTCCAAATGAAAAATCTCTTTATGTTTCCAGCATAAGGTATATAACAACAGCAATGATACGTGGCACGTCGAGAAAGAACTTTTCATTTAGGACCCTTTGGGTATAGTAGCACGCACATTCAAATTCACCAGCTCTGAAAGGGGTTTTTCACATGCATCTGTTGTTATTTGTGGCATTATGATCATGTTTTATTGAACGCCTACTAGAATAAACTGTCACACAAAATATTCATGAGTTGCTGATCCTCAAAAATGGATTTTGTGCCAAACTACCGTTTTATTCTTTCTTATATACATAAGTCGTGTAATTAAAATGCAGAGGCTCGAGTCATTCAAATTGAGTGTAAACGTATATTAGCACTATGTTAGCAGGAATAAAGCCTGTTTAATAGGCTTCACAACCGCCCAAAGTGTACACGCTGTAATCAAACATGCTGATAGTTTGACAACATAACTTTAATAGTGAAGCAATTATTATTGCGGCCACAAAATCAAACTGTTATGGTTGTCACATAGAAGTGCTTAGGCTTAAGACCAAACAACTATATGAGCGAAACATAGCGTGAGGAGCACAAGGGGCGTATCGAACTAAAACAAAATATTACCGGATACCCAATAGAGACAAAAATGATTTTTAAGAAAACAACCAGTACTTTTGTTTATTGTTGATAATTTTTTTGTCAATTTTTTTTTTCTTTGTTTACTAATTACGTGGATCGGAGATTTGAGTTGCCTATTTTTTACTATTTGCTCATTGAAACGGAACTTTGCATCTTTTATTTATATTCCAAAATCCTACAATTTACCGGAAAAAAGCCCCAGGGCTTAAGAATCATAACAATGCGAAAAGAAAAGAGAAGGAAAACTGCTACAAAAGCGAGGAATTCGACCGTACCATTCAATCGCGGATGTGAAATTATACCTATTCAGTAAAATTATTCTCATGAGATTCTCTCTAATTATAAACCATACATCTATAAAGATACTCTGTGCGTATTTGTCGACTTTTTCGTTGTTGAATTTTAAGTGCTAAATACGTGTGGACATTTTCGACATATCAATAACGTGTACTGCATGGATTTTGTATTTCAATCATAATTTTGAAAAGAACACAACTAAAGTATTGACCAATTACGAGCGAAACTTGGACTCCTTTGTAAACTTGTCTTCGGTTGTGAGGTGAAAATGAATGTTAATTCATGACTGTGAATTATTGATGCCCAACAAACAGCGCATGTGTGGTATTCAGTTGTCACCATCAGGTAGAAGTGTGAAGTGCATATGATGCCCGCTTATACCCTAAACTCAACGGAATTACGATTCAACTTTACATTAAGAAAATTGCGATCTGACTACAAATATCTATTCTTGAGGAATATCCGTCACAAGGTTTGGTGATTAACGAATCTTCAAAATCGGTAGGTAAATAGATCAGGTGATCTAGACGTTGAAATCTGTATACACAGCGAAGTAATATTTATATATATATATTTATATATCGAGTTTAGTTTAATGTGTGGGGATGGTTAAACTGCTTTATTGTCTAATATCTATGTTTTTTTTTACTCGATGAAACCTTGTCCTAATATATCACATATTAAAGTACGGAACTCAGTCGAAAAGTCTTTAATGTTAGTCCAAACGTGGAGGTCCAACTATACTTGACCTCAATGTTTTCGATCGACAATAATGTGAATATCAGTAGACAAAATGTATCCAACTTAAGACTACATACTGCAGCTCCGATTCATAAAGAAATCGGGTTAACTGTGAAAGCGGACACCGCAAAAAAAATTTCTTTCTACTTATTACATCGTCCTATAATCGTGAAGTGAAGAGTTGATGGCAAGACAAATAAATATAAGTTCCCTCCTCGAGAGTGTTTTAAAACTGGTCAAGCCGAAATCACGAAATAAAACTACTAGGTCCGTTATAATGATATGTCGGCGAGGAGAACCTAAACATTGCGGCTTAGTAACTTTAGACTCGGGACATTCTTTTTGTTGTCCTTGCTTTGTATAGAGATGAATAGACCATGCAGGTCTAATTTGTCTTTCGTTCCGACTCAGAGACATCGCATGGTTACATGTAATATATCATAAAAAGTCGTGCTTCAAGACCCTTGGGAAGTTTGGAACAAGGCTGAAATTCGGATAATTGTATTTTCGACAAAAACAGGTCTCATCGCGCTATATATATTTGTAGACCAGTAATGTACGTAGCTCATCCGGTGACCTGTCAAATACAAAATATTCCTTGAAAAACAAAATTTCTTCCCAATTGATATCATGATTGTTGCGGAAGGATTGTATTAATTGTACATTTGGTTATCTCTAATATATTTCATTTTTTATCTCTTTGGTAAAATTTCTGGGCTAGAAAAGATTTCCTATAAGGAAATCCATCATTACTCCATTTAATCCATTTAGGAATAGGAGGCTGTTTCTCCATAATGAATGTGCATCAAGATCGACTGTTTTGAATTCAAGGAGATATTTGTTATGCTCCCCAGATCGGTCGGCGCTTTTCTGTATATAAACATTCAAAGCAGCTTTGCTTTTTTTCTACATTATTTTTGGCAAAATACGATCGTGATGTGAAATTTTTCCACAAATTAGGAACAATGAAAGATTGGGTATGGACGATAAATGATATCGGTAATTTTTGATGTCACATAGCTGTAAAACGAACGAAAAAATCAAACCAACCGCTGAGGTTCTCAAAATTTATTAATTTGACTTATTATGGTTACTGCTAAGCGAAATGTGGTTCTTAATTTTGCTAAATCTATTGCCGCAATTACGCTTCATGTACAAAAACATACTTTACTGCTTTCAGTCAAAATATGCATAAACGACAAAATGGAACTCCGAGAAAGGAATGGATAACAGTACAAATAAATGTCCATATAAAGTAATTGAAACCTAAAATGACAATATTTTTTACCTTCATACGTGGAACATATACTCCAGAAATTACTCGAGAAATATTGTGGTTTGGACGAATAATCTCGCATTTGTAGGTTCACAAAAAAATGAGACACGAAATAACCCCATATACTGGGTATTTCTTTCGTTTTCCTAATAAATAAAACTTCTCTTGTGATTTTGCTAAATCTCGACATTTTATAACAAATTCATCGACACTTCAAGTAATTTATTACAACGCTATAGCATGAATTGAATTTCAATTAGTTTATGCATCTACTTTGAAAGTTAAATGAAACATATTAAAGCTGAGTGGGAAAAATCCACTATTAATGTTTACTTAAGGGTCACTTTAATTAAATCTTTAACTGTACTAAACGTATACAAAAAAACCAACAAGAAAATCAATACAATGAACTAGTTGATTTTTCCATATTTTTTAAAATTTCTAATGTTTTCCCTTTTTTTAGAAATAGCTCGATATAGTTAAACATAAATTAATGTCATCCATAAATGAGTAAGCTGCAGCTTACATTGAAATATTAATATAAGTATTATGTTATACACTGATTGAGATAATATTATCTAATGGGAATCCTTTAGCCTCAATAATGAGAGCTTTTTAATTTACACATTGTTTATTCAACTTGCTAAATAATAATTAAAAATGTAACTAAATACCTAAGCAATATTGAGTATACGATAATTGCTGTCAGGATGCTGAAACTATTTTTATAGCTGTCATTTATGTATATTTAATATTAATATATAATCATTGTATAAAATACCTATTTTTCTCTATTTCTAAAAAGTGATCTTCACAGTGAAAATATAATAAGAGTTCTTAGGAATTAGGCATTAAATAGTAAAAATCCACCAAAATTTTATTTCATTGTTATTTAGCAGAATATTACACGGCCACATAGAGATATAAATTTTAACTTCTTGTGTTGAGAATAATGGTTCACTGCACTCACTCAGATACCACCTATGAGTCACTACTTGAAGGTAAAATACATATCTCTGCACTGCCATGTAATATCCTCTATTTATGTTACTAGGTATATAGGTCATATCTAATTAGTCATATAGGTAAATAGGTCAAAACAAGTCAAAGCAAGTCAAAGCCTGAATGATTACATTGGTATAAGAATCCAGATCTTTTATTATATTCATCAGTATATTAAATTTAAAAAATCATTTTTCTGTACTACTTGATAATACAACAACTGCAAAAACTGATAACTTATATTTATATTGTTCCTAGTCAGTGTGTTTTTGTAGTTGTCAAAGATTATTGAGGTTAAAAATAGAAACCTATACCTAYGTAGCTTTTACATCATAATTTGAAATTTTGGTAATTATCATGAATATTGTACGAGAAATTGTTGTTTTTGGTGATTCCAGGTTTAGTATACTGTGCATTAATTCCAGGTTCTGGATTACATTCTGGATTCCAATTTCTGGGTTTTAGATCAATCGATTGTCACAATAGTAATGATGATGATAAAATGGGCGCGCGAAGATACAAAATTTATCTTCGAGTGTTGAAAAGATCTCTCATGAGTTAGCGCAGCGAATGAGTGAGAGATTAAATTCAACACAAGAAGATAAATTTCGTATCTCCAAGTGCCCATGTAATATTCTGTTTATTATATAATTATCCATTAAATCAACTTAATAAGCTTTTTATTATTATAATTAACTAACTAATAGCTTAAATACACATTTTTTTGAAAAGGAGAATAGGTATTTTATGGATAATTATACRACAAAGAAGATTATTATGTAGTAAGTACCTTTTAAAGATGGCAGTTCACTGTGATGGAGTCTAATTTAAAGGCAAGAATAATTTTATTTTTAAAAGATAGGTATTTAAAATCATTTTTTTAAAAAGAAAATCAATTTTTGATTTTATCACAAGGTCACTAAAGGGTGAATAATGATGAATGTCCCAGATTGTTGCCAAGATGGACATTGTAGCAACTCTGTTACATTTTTTCAATATTCTAGAGCACATCTTTACAGTCTCATTGTTTGCTATTAAAGGGATTAGATTTTATGCTTGAGAAAAGAAATCTACTGCTTATCTAGGATTCATGAATGAAATGTCACTTTCAATTGATTTTAAAAGTAATGAATTGAGAATGAAGCTTGTCTTTATTAGGACTAACTGGATTCAAGTGACTCTGGTTACTCTGCAGCTTTTGTTTTTAAAAATCAAGGTTTTTGGTATACTGGATCTTTAATCACAAGCCATTTTATGGCCCACACCTACTTGCCCTCAATATAGAACACAGCTTGATTCATTATTGTTATAAATCATGCAAAGCTTTGCATACCTTTAAAGTTGACTCTTTTACCACAACTAATAAGGAATTCATTTTTGACACTGAATTTCATGATCAAGTGTCTGTAGCTTTGCTATACCTGTATTTCTAAATGAATAGTTTGTCTGACTAGGTTAAGGCTTTTTCATTATGGATTTAAGGTATGTTGAAAACCAAAAATAATTCTAAAGGRAAAAAAATCATACATAACATTTGGGTGAGTTGGGGAGATGCATGGAAATAGTCTGTTATAACCTTGTTTTGTTAAACACCTATATATGCTAGTTTTATGATATAAAGGTTACTTATTATGTGTGTGCACTGCAATTGCACAGTCTTTTATATTTTGCTTTTGTGCTTGTTGATTATTCTATTAGAGTTAGGCTCCCTAAACATTTTACAATAAAGGTGTACAAGGTGGATAAATTCCAATCTATTACTTTCATATTTACAATAGCATTTAAAAAAAACAATAGTTTAATTTAAGCAGTATTTTGGAGCACTTAAACTTTTTTTTCTCAAATAACACCCATTTGATAAAATACTAGGTAGTCTTGGAAATATTGCCATGAAAAACATCATGGTTATCAATATCAGTAAATGGGAATTATATGACGTTCATGCATTTCTACAATGCTTTTCCCCCCTGTTAGACAACATCAGGATGTTGGGTCAACATAACTGTTTGAAAATGTAGTCTATTTTAGATTCAGACAATAATATACCATTGCATTTCATAAAGCCTACTTCAAATTGTTTCATAAAAGTCAGTTATTTTTTCAGAACACTTACTAAAATTGATATTGAAAATGGAAAGAAAAATGCATAGATCAAAAGTGTTATAAAATGGTATTTTTATATTTGACAGTGAAAATTTTAGTAAAACTTGTGTAAAATATTTATATACAGTATACCATTAATAAAATATTTCTGTAGAAGGTTCAATGCATATGAAAACTAATCACAGAGCTCATTACTTTTTAAACAGATTTTTTTGTACAGTTATTATAACATTTATAATATCTTTGAAGAGATGTGTGATGAGAGAAAAGATATGTCAAATTGTGATACTCTTTAAGTGCAACCATGAGATTATTTAATTTTTTTTAGGTATTAATTTTGAATTTTAATCATTAACCACACAAATAAGATTTAAGCAATAGTCATTAAATCCCGGGGGGGAGGGGGGGACTCCGGGAAAATAGTACCGGGGATGCTTGTCGTATCTCTTAGGGGTAAAAATTCGCGATTTGGTATCTTTTAGGGTGTTAAATGCAAATTTTTGAAAACCAGCATTTTCTGGTATCTCTTAGGGTGTCGGAAAAGGAGAGAAGCGTGCATCGGTATGGCTTATCCTAGGCACTTTTAATTTAATATTATTTGTTGTGGTATCTCTTAGGGGTTAAAAATCATTCAGCCACACCCTTTTTTAAAGACTTCTGGTATCTTTTAGGGGTCTTTTTGAAAATTTTGGACGAGCAGCCCCGGTCCTTTTTTCCCGGAGTCCCCCCCCCCCCCGGGCGTTAAATTTAGCATGATACATTTTCCTTATAGTTCTTAATATATACCCTTATACTCCCAGATTAGATTGGAATTTAGCTTGCTCATGTGTCTTTGTACTACTGTCTAATCGGCAAAAACATCCTGAGAGATATTGAGCACAAGAGAAGCATGCTTGGCAAAAGGAGGGGTAGTCAAGTACTTTACTTACTAATTTCCAAGTGCTCTACAAAAATGAACAGGTTACAAAATACATGCATAAGAACATATTGACCTACACAAGCAATACATGTTGGTGAAGAAGCAATTTGGACATGTGTTTAGATGTGTTCACTAAAACATGAAAGTGCAAAGTAAAAGTCATGGGTCAGAACACTAATACACAGTACAATTATTGTTTTTAATTATCTAGGGGTAGAAGTCTTGTAAGACATGTGCAAACAAGCGTTGTTTATTTAGTAAACACTGCAACCACAGCATGGTTCTGGAGGCCTAGACAACAGTCTGAAAGTGAAATTCTTTTGACTACTTTACCACAATCTGCCTATAAAGCTACCAGCTCTAGGGTTAGTATATATATAAAAAATTTCAATGTTTACAACATGAGTGCTATTTTGAATCAGATTTACAACACAAGCCGGAGGCAAGTGATGTAGATCTGATACAAAATGGACACAATGTGATTCACAGTGACCTATGGCATAAATATGCACCTGCATGTTTCTCTGAAAGGGCTTTTCAAAGTCTCTGAAATAGCCTCTACTTGAAAAAATAATCTCATCTCTAGTCTATACTTCGCTCTAGCTATTCGAAGTAGATCTCAAGTAAATATTTCAGTGATGTACAACTGTAGCTACATGTATATTTATCTTATTTATTTGTTTTTAGGTACCAATGTCAGACCCATTTAACTTGGTGAATGCCATTGAAGAGGGCAATTGTTCACAAGTCTTAAATTTATTAGAAAATAGGGGAATCAATATTGAACAAAGAGATCAGGTATGAATATAAGAATTATCAATAAAAACTTTGTATTTTTATGTCTAATTTGAATGTTTAACATTCAAAGGTCTTTAATAGATAATCAAAAAATAAATTATAATTTATTGAGATGTTTTTTAAATAATAGGTTAATTTATAGAATTATTGTAAAGTTTGATTCAGTATTAGAAGTGGTACTCATGAGATGAGTTCAACAGTTATTAGATTTATAAATAACTATTTCGGGTTTAAGATCACATAACAAAATGGGCCAGTACTAGGGAGGTGGTCCTTCCCACCTCCTTGCCATTACTACATGTATACGAAATTTGCCCAATTTTCTCATTGGCACTGGGCAAACTAGACTTTTGAGTTTTGTGCTCTGTGATTGGTCAAGCAACCTGATGTTTTTTCTGATCGCATGGTTGCACACAGAGCCCAGTTGTTTGAAGAGTGGATTGAAATTTATTGGATAACAGCATCAACTTTATCAAATGAATAACGATTTATCCACACTTCGTACAACCGGACCCGGTAGGATACCAATAGGCCCATTATACATATTTTGGCATGCTTTTGATCAATTTTGATTTCAGAATGGCCAAACTCCACTCATCATAGCAGCAGAAAAGGGGAATGTTCCGATTGTGCATGAAATTCTCAAGAGAAATCCTGATGTCAATGCCCAAGATGATGTAAGTTTAAAATGTTGCCTAACTAAAAAATTCTAAAAAATTCTAAAAAATTCTAAAACAACACCAACCACTCTGTGGATATTCAATAGAAAATAACATTCATACTTATTGTATTTTTTCCTTGGGATGTTTGTAAGTGTGAAAGCCCTAACTTCATCCTTTTCATCATCTAATATTAGGATAGGCGGTTTATAACATTAAATATCTAATAGCACCATGCAATCTGCATATAAGCATGTCGTAATGGAATTTCTAGGATAATAGAAATAAACTAAGGGGGAGGGGGGGGCAACACAAATTTAACTTTTAATCTGATAATAGGACGGATGGACAGCACTTATAGCAGCATGCAAAGAAGGACACGTAGATGTCGTGAAGGAATTGCTAGAACATGGAGCGGAAATACAAATATCTGACTTGGTTAGTTTTCTTTTTGCTTGTGATTGTATTCTTCGTTTGCACGTTACGTCATCGCGGCCATGTTGGTACCATTTAACAAAGGATTTCTCATTAGCATCCATTGTTAACGGTACCACAATGGCCGCCATGWTTTTGTCTTTTTACTCTCTTGGGAATGCTTGCAAGCCATCAATTCGTAATAGTTTATCACTATTTATTCATTTGTTTTAGCTACTATTAACTTAAACATATCAAGCTTACTTTGATTTCCTTTTGGCTCAAAACCTTCCTAACTTCATAGCTTATGTTGTATTGTAAGCTTAAAACAAACCAACACAAGCTAAAGAAAACATATGCCACTAAATCAAAACAAGCAAAAGTGAAAGTGTCCCTTATAGCTAAAATACCTTAAAATTTCTTCTCCTCTTTTGGCACTAAAACGTCATTGCAAACAACGACGCTCTTCTGGCCTGTCCTCCATCGAACGACTTGGTCCAACACAGGAAGCCCAATGGTTTATAGTGTTCAAAGCGTAGCTCAAAGCACGAACGCGATTTTTCCCGCCAAGATGAATGAAATTAAATGGCAGACGCGTCGAATATTTCGCGCCAAAAGAAGGGTTTTTTTTCCGAGAAAAATTGACAAAACATAAATAAGCTTATTTTAAAACCAATTTTCCTTCGTATTAAGACTTTCACAAAACATAAATAAGCTTATTTTAAAAGCAATTTTCCTTCGTATTAAGACTTTTTGTGTGTTAACAGTTTGTTAATCGCATTTTTCGTTTAGTTCACGCCTTTTTGATAATTCATGAGTAATTAAGTAAGAAAGTAAGTTGGAAGAAAGTAAAATGCCAGACTATTTAAATTTGAATGTTCACACAGATGTAATAGTGAAAGAATGTCAGCCAGAAGTACGTTAGGCAGAAGGCATTTAATTCTTGTCCATTTGGTTTCCATCTCAAGACTCGGAAGTTTAAGTGAAATAACAGGCCTAACCACGCCTTTACTACTATCGTCCAAATATTGCCAGCGTTTACTTTTCAATTTGACTTTCCCGTTACAGTCTTACAGTAACTGCAATTGCATTTTTTTGTAGGGGAGATGGACACCACTAGTATGGGCTTCCTACAAAGGCCACGGAGAAATTGTGACGGATCTGTTGGGGCACGGTGCCGATCCAAACGAAAAAGGACAGGTATTATTTTAAATAATTTTATTCCAAAATTTGATTTTAATTTCAAAAACTATACGTAGATGGACTAGGAATATTCTGTTGTTCATTCAATTTTATTTTTTTTATTTTCATCAATTCCCGTCCACGCAATTTTAAATCAAACCGAAATGGACCTTTTTACCGATACGGCGGCCATCTTGAATTGTGTTGTTATAATTAAGACATTATGAGATGCCGAGAGGGCAACAATTGTAAAATTTATAGACTGCCTATAACTTTGCGCTTTTCAAGAGAAGCACATCTAAAATACAAATTGAATTTGCTGGTAGCTGGAACAATTAGCGAAACTCCAAAAAATATAATTATTTGAAAACGTAACCCCGCCTGCCCACTCTAGTGCTTTATAAATTTTCTACGTGTTTGCCCCCTCGACATCCCATAATTTAAGATGGCCGCCGTATCAGTAAAGAGGTGCCACTGTGTTAAAGCTGTCGAAAGCCATGCTTTGCTTCGAATATTTCAACATTGGATGAACAAGTTAATGTTTTATTTAAATATGATCATATTCTAAATTTTTCGTATTAGCCTTGATATTATGCCTTTGTGGGGGTTGACGGGATCAACTAGAATGAAGTATAGACAGCAAGCGAGCCAAGAATTATTTCTTATGGTATTGCGGCTTGCAGATTGTCACAAACCACAAAAATAAAAATGACTCATGTTTATATTACTCAGAAAACTGAAATTTACTTTGCGGGTTAGTGAGAATGGAAGGTTTTGCATACTGAGTTTTAATCGACTGATTGTTAACGCCAGTAATCCAGTAATCCGATCGTGATCGTAGTCAATAAATGGACAAATGCATTGGTCAGAAAAACAGACAAACGGACAGCTAAACGGGATCCTCATCTTCATTTGGCCTAGGAAGCAGTACAAAAATATAGCCGACAACTTTGTTAAATTGATAATTTGTTCAATATTACGTCCTTTCATTTTCCCGCCTACATGGCTGGGGTACGTCTATCAAAAATATACCTTTTTTCATAATTTACAAGTTTTCTTCATAGTCTGATTTTAAAACGCTGTTATGGTACTGCGAGTAGAACGCAAAATTAATTTTACTCAGATGAAATGGTAGATGATTTTTTCATATTTCTACGGAGTTTGCTAATATAGCATTCGCATATTAAATGAAAAGCAATGTGTGTGCTTCTAATATCCAACCTCTGAAGTATTAATCTTGTACTTCCGAAGATGGATTTGGAAATAATTAGCTTCTATCCTCTTACTATATGTATCTCTACAGTGAATTACAGCTTTAACTGTTTTTAAAATGTTAAATTTTTCATCACTTATGTTTCATACCATGACTAATTGGCAAACAATCATATTTCCCGCTAAAACTCTCAAGAACTTAATTGGTGTTTTTTTGGTTGAATTTCCTCTTGTCTACGGATTATAAATGCATCCAAGAACCAAATTTTCCTATTGTTTTTTTTTTATTTCACTTCGTTCCTTTCAGGTTGGTGAGGTTTAGGCAATCCGATGTTTTAGAATTTTTTTCTCGACCATGAGTTCATTTTTGATACTTGATTTTTTTGCAAAAATAATTAGCGCGAATCAGTGAATAGAGGAATTGTTCAAATCTATAACTCTGTTTCACTTCCATTGCAAGCTGTCATAACTATAATTAGGGTCACAGTAAAATAACTATTTACGTCCGGTTAGCACTCACTCACCTTTGTATTGAATTCCCACTGGCTAGTTTTCAAAGCACATGGAGAAGTCATAAGCGCTTAACCACAGCAGGTGGATTTGACATGGATATAGTCTTGTGGAAAAAYTTAATTTGTTTCAGGATAGCAAATGCATCAAGGTATTTAATTTTTGTCATTGTTAGTGAAACACCCCTAAATATGAAAATTCAAGTAACACACTTAGTATAAAAATATTTTGAAATATGCTAAAACTCACGTAACAAGTACATACTACCAAATACTGAGTCACAAAGTATCTTTGGAGATTTGTTTAGTGCATTGAAGCCACCGCTAGGATATGATATTTATTTTGAAAAAAAATCTCATTATCTTCCCGGCCCGATCTCGGCTGGGAAATTAAGAAGATTCCGTCAATGCTAAAACTCAGGGATAATTTGCAAGTCCAGCATGGACTATTTCTTTTCGACGCTATTTATGTAGTCTTAAGACCTATACCTGAGTTGTGGACAATAATTTTGGCAGAGTTTCCTACTGTACGTAATATATTAGCTTTATTACTACGATTACTTTAAAATAATGCTAATTAATTTTATGGCTGCCGTGCGTATTATGCTGATTACTCGGTGTTATACACTGTTATGGACCAAAATTTACGTTATTAGAACTGAATTTAAAAAATTCTTGCAGAAGTTTAATGGCGCTTTTTTCAGTTATTACTAGATGCTCAAAGCTGCCTTTTTTTTTCTTGAGCAAAGTCCAGTTGAAATTGTTTATTACTGATTAAGGAAATCGAGCTTTGTAGAAGATGTAAATACATATATCAATATGTTTGTAGCCAATTTCAGGCCACTGTAAGACGTGCAGAGAAGAGGTTACGTCAGTTAATAATGAATAATCATTATATCCGTCAAAAAAGCGGTCAAAATTTCATTGCTGTCGCTTTCTAGCAGAGTTGCGCTTCGTAATTTTTATCATTAATGTTAATATATTTTAGAATATTTTTCATCCCAGTCATTTCTTTTTTTGGTTCCACTATATTTAAAATTAAAAAAAAAAAAAAAAAAAAANAACAAGAGGAAGCGAAAAAAAGGTGGCAGACTCAGAAGAAAGCCTTGAAGCGGCAACGGCGAAGACTTAATGAAAAGGAGAGAAAGAAACCCAAGAATACAACCTTAGAGAAATAGAATTAAAAAAAAAAAAAAAAAAAAACCCGTAAGACTGACAATATTTTTCTAATCCCATTTTTCCTGGAATTCTATACTAAATTATTATTCCTATGCGCTAAAAATTAGACAAAAAAACTAAGCTGTTTGGCACCATATAGAGATTAATTCTTATTATACTATCTTGAATAGATCTCCTAGCTTAATACGTTTACTGATTTCTTCCGCGCCATTCTTCCGACAAGCATAGAATGGCCCAGAAGCTAACGGGTTGCCTAGCTACGTCCAGTACTCCATCTACTGTATTTTAACTTGTTGCGACTTTATTTTTAGCTCCCTACTACTTATGTATTTATCATGTATTTTTTTCAAACCGTTTATTTTCGTGCTTGTTTAATCGTGTATTTCTAGAGCGCTTTATTTTAAACATGCAGATTAGCAGTCATGATGATAATGAGTTTGTTACGCGATTTTCCTTTTCTCCTCCTCCTTAGTGTCAGCCACGCTCGATAGGCCTTTTTGAACTTGAACGCAATGTTTTTTCCATTCCAGACCACTTGTGTATCATTAGTATCATTTATTTGCTTTCCAGTAAAATTTGAGAAAATACATTGATATGGACGGACCTTCGGAACATAAACGCTATGCCCAATATGAAAAGGTTTACTTTGTGTTTAAATCTTTCCTTTTTTCTATCTTTTATCGACTCCCCAATTTTTTATTGTTGATGGTTTTGGGGGTTGAAAGACGCGAAAGTATTATATGCAGCCGTCGTCATTAGTTAACCTTAGTCAAAATAGCCTGTTGCTAATAAATAAATTATGTGCATTCATATATCTCTATTATGTAACTAAACTAGTATTCAAATATCTACTTAATGTGGTCGAAAGTTTATATATACTATATCAGGGGCGCTTTTACTACAATACATTTAGCGCCCATGAAGTGCGTTGAGTGAGTGAGTCGGCTTTGTACCGTAGAACAAATTGAAACTAAAATATTATATTGACGATAAATTTTAACAGTACTATAACACGTTATCTATTCAAGGTGTTGGAGTCCGGAACCCATTCCCATAACCAAACTTTTTCCGCAAATGCGAAGCTCGTTATATAACGAATTATGAGTTAACTTACTAATAACTAATACCGTGAAAATTTGGTATTGGTAACACCATAAGGGGTATTATATTTTCAGAACTTCATATCAATTTTACTATCTATAAAGGTAGTAATAGTTTTTAGCTTGTTAAATAATCATTATGTCTGTTCTTTTTAAGCATGGCATGACTGCCCTAATATGGGCATCGGGAAGAGGACATACTGAATGTGTTAGAAAACTCTTAGAAGCTGGAGCACTTGCGGATTCTGCAGATAAGGTACAATCAGCTCGTTTGACTGACAGTTTCTGAGAAACAGCTAGCAGTTGCCCTCCAAACTGTCTAATAGCCTATTTGCAACAAACAGTCACGTGCTGATATATCACTTAGGTCCCTTTGGGAAGGCTCAGCTGGTTGACAAACAAACTTTAAAACGCTTTCTATCTTGTAATCGAAAGTATCTCAGGGGAAAAATTTGTTGAAAAAGGTATTGGATGTGACATTAGTACTCCAGCAAAAGTTGTTTATCACAATCATTTTGAATTTATAATTATATTGAATAAGTATTTAAAGAATTAAAAGTTTTGGTTATATTTTATATTTTCTTGGTATTTGTTGTGTTATCAGTACGGAACGACAGCTCTAGTTTGGGCGGCAAGAAAGGGGCATCTAGAAGTCGTGAAGGCCCTAGTCGAAAAGGGTGCCAATATCAACATTGCCGGAACGGTAAGAAAATCCCCTTTATTTCACTTCATTTCCTTTTATTTCCTTTAGAATCACGTTTTTTATCTTTTTTCTTGTTTATTATTCTTACTTCTGGAGATCTTTAAAGGTCATATAAAAGGTGTGTGTGTGAACGGTTAGACTAATAAAGCAATTTAAAATCACATCTCGAATCTTAGTTTTCTTATTAATAATATTGATGGTTTTCAACCATTCCCAAGAGAATTAAATRACAAAAGACACGKTGGCCATGTTGGAGRATATAACAAAAGAATACATTGACAATTCTTTTGTTAAGTTCCTCCAACCTGGCCGCCGTGAAAACCATCAATTGAGAAGTGACATCCGATAGGCAAATAAGCCAGGTCCAGTATTTTTTTAACACTTCAACGATGTACATCATGGCGGACATATCTTTTTAATACTACCCATGGAGTTCCAATAATCCAAATGGTCGAGGAAACCATTTCAGATTTGAAAATGATCTGTATTCTATTTCAAGAGTCATTGCTGTATGAACTATATTCAAGCTCCCCCCACCCCCTCCCC